GACTGAGAAGGCTGCTATTGAGAATCGCTTATAGGAGTGGACCAAACAGTTAGAAGAGAGCGGGGCTGATATTGCATCTCTTGTGTCATGCTTGAAAAAGCCACTACGACCTCTTTGGATTTCACAAAGAACGGTCATCTGGTTAAATGAAGTGCCTAACTATGATTCTTGGGATTTTACGCCCGTCATGCTTGTCTCTGCCTCTTCATCAAATGGTATTCAACTAAGAACCACCTCAGAATTTAGCTGGAGCTATATTCCAGGAGCTGGAGATGATGAAGAAAGTTGGGCAAGGGGTTTATCCCCTAATCTTTTCTGGAATCATGTCTATGATCTTATTACCTCAGGGTCTGATTTGTGTAACCGAAAGGTAGCTGAGATAGTTGAAAAGGATAGAGTACATCGTGCTCAAAGGGGACAGGATGCTCCTCAGGTCACTGTGAAGCCCTCAAAGTTGCCTGGTGGCTTAAATAATCTCTCACTTGTAGGTTCACTTTTATCTCCTGATATTTCAAAGCAGAATGGTGATAGGGAGGTGCACAATGAAGAATCTATGATATCATGGCTTGCTTCGACTAAACTTGCTGTTGGTACATCCCAATGTGGTATGCTGACTTCGATTTCTATTATTTATAATTAAGAAGTTCTGCTTTCTGCGGATCCCAGAGTGTTATTTTGTTCACATCTCATGCTGCATTTTTTCAATTGAAAATCTGTGCTTCTATTTTTTTTTTTTTTCAAGAAAACTACCGAGTCAGAGAAGATTTTAATTATTGGATATCCTTATAAATGTTCTTTTTCCCCTTAATTTTCATTTTCATTTTGTTTATTTTTTATTCTTTTAGTTTTGGGCTTAGGAAGGTGGGAGCTTGAGACAGAAATGCTCTAGTACAGAGTTTTTTCTAGTATTAACATGCCCACCTGAATCCTCTGCATACCCTGAGATGTTCCATTTTTTGATGTTTTCTTGGACAATGTTGACAAAAGTTTGAGGATGAGTTAGCTACTTGTCCAAGAAATGATAAGCTACTTATGTGAACCTTAAACGTTGTGGCATGGATGAATAGAGCAACATGTTATTAGGTTCCCAAATTTTTTTTTTCATAAAAAGGTTAAAAATAAAAATAAAAGGATGAGCAAGCCAATCTGGTAAGACATTAATTTGCTAAGAAAGGTGGAACCAGAAGAAATGGTGGACAATTCACTCTTAGTTTGATTTTTGCATGAAGGCTTCAGTGCCTTACCTGCCTGGTTAAATTTATTAGTTTTTCTTTTTCTTGTTTGATTCACAAGGAGTCTTTCTTTCTACTTTTTTAGTTGCCTTGCTGATGTCTTTCCCAAATTTCTGGTGCAGCTGCAAATATGATTAATACTGTTTGCACATTGAATTGCGATCAAGAGTCCATCTCTGTTCATCTTCCAAATTCAGAAGGATATTTGCATCTTCCTATGGTGG